ATATCTTTAAGCAATCTAGTCTCAGTTCCCATCAAACCCGTGTTGTGTGGGACGCACAATTTGTGTAGAAAGGTCCCTTCCTTGAGGCAGATTAAACTAATAAAATATATTTTAGTTTTATTGACGGAAAATAAATTGTTTTAGCTTTGCATGCTTCTTAAAAAAGAAAAATTCATGTTAAGGGAATTTTAGAAAATCTGTGAAGAGACACATTTTTTTTTTTTGTTTTTGGCAACGGAATTCGAGAATTGCAAACATTTTAATCTGACAGAATATTGTTTATATCCAACTTCACAAGTTACAGATCGACTGATGTTTACTTGTAACTTCAACAATATTTATGTTTGAAATTTACATTGTAAAAAAACAAAAGGGGTCATCCTTTTATTTTTTTGCAGTGAAGCACCCAACGAGATATTTTCTTTCCTTTAAGAACATTTTCCTCATAAACAGAAATAGATATTCCTATTTCTGTTTCTGTATACTGATTTCTTTAATGCACTTAAGCCTTAAACTTTGACTTGGACCACACGGATTATAATCTACATGGTGGTCGGAAAGTCTTGTCACCGGCTACCAAAATTATTATGACAGCGATGGTTCTGCTATATCACAACCGGTTAGGGTGAGAGAAACAGTTCTTGCTCAGCCGATAAGCAACTCATTCTACTGAGTGGTCGGAAAGTCTTGCCACCCGCTACCAAAAAGTCTTGCCACCCGCTACCAAAATTCTTGCCACACGCTACCAAAAAGTCTTGTCACACGCTACCAAAAAGTCTTGTCACCCGCTACCAAAAAGTAAATAGAACAATAGAAGAACAATAAAAATCACATGAACCAGATTCAGGTTATTCACTTTCATAGACGCTGTCATACGTCGAGAAGGTCTGTATAAGCACCATCATTTTTGTGGCAAAAAAATGAGGCAAAACCATGTCCTGTGTGATATTTTACGAAGCTGTGCTTTGTTGCTTGTTGTTAAAGGCTCCTGGAACGACATCCTTCAACTGATACATATTCTGGTATCGGTCATTTGAAACTCTCTCCTTGCTAATACCCCCCACAGAGCGTTGAAATAGAAAAGTATATTATCCAGGTGTGACAACGAATCCGTACTACCCTGGATATTAAAAATGTCAAATTTTCCTAATCCCCTATTATACTTCTACGACCTGACCACACGGACTATAATCTATATTACAAATGTTAAAACTACATGAGTATCGAGGAAACAAGTCGTATAACTCTAACGATTTGTATGTTCCATACGGGGTCGATCTGGAAAAAAAAAGAAGGATGTGTCAATCTGGTGAAGAAACTAGGCGAAACATCTCGTAGACATGGCAAGTAGAGTAATGCCATAAAAACATTCTGTTTTATATTTGTGAGATGAGGTATTATGTACACTATTTACATTATTCGGACAATTGTTATCTTTATTGCCATATTTATCATAACGTTTCGGTTGTTGTACGCTCCGGCTTTCTTCAGGTGATTGGAATGCCGAACTGAACCCTTTATTTAGCTCGCTGAGGTAGACTGTTCTAGCCATGTCTAAACTCACAACTTTTGGGGTCCTGTCACTGGATCTAACCAATGCCTTTATCCACTGTGCTATGCGCCCTGCTTAAGGCAGTGAAGCACTTGGAAAGGTTAATTAACAGGCGATAACTCATAACTAATATCCATTAAACATAGCACATGGAAATAGAACAGTCTACCCCAGCGAGCGAAATAAAAGGTTCAGTTCGATATTTCTACTGCCTGAAGAAGGCCAGAGCGTTCAACGCCCGAAACTTTTTGATAGGGTGATAGCTATGGGCAAATAGTTAACCCCCAAACTGGAGTCAAAAAACTATGAAAGCATAAAAATAGATTCTTATCGTAAAAATAACAATACATTTTTGAAAAAAAATACCAGCAATACACTTTTGAAAAAAAAATACCAGCAATATACTTTTGTAAAAAAAGAAATATTACCAGCAATACATTTAACTCTCGACAAAAACCCGCCTTACAAAAAGAAAATGAAACCTGATCTACAAACTGATTTCAAACAAAGAATACGTATTCTATTTATATGAATCCATCGTAAAAATCTTGTCGGCATGACATAACCCATTAGGGTAGATATGACGTAAAGCCAAATAAAACGAAATCCAAACCCATTAATTATTATACTTGTCTCATGTGTAAAGCCAGTAAGAACGATACAGGTCCTCCCATGAAAGGAAAGCGTGAAGAAAGGACTAATTATGACTAAATCGCATGTATAGTTGGGAACTTGAGAAAATATCCAAGATGTTCACTACGAATTGTAGATGTCAAAATTAAATAAATATAGAAGTTTAAATATAAGTGGGGGAGTGTTTAAGCAGAGGGGGGGAAATTTCACATTGGAACGGACGTTGGAACAGAAAATGGTGCCTTTCAAAACCTAAGCAAACAATAAAAAATAGAAAATGCCCATTAAAAACTAAAACAGTAGTGCTGAACTGCCAGGTAATACAAATTCTACTCTATGGCACTGAATTCTGGGAAATTTCCGAAATGATGAAGACGCAACAGAAATGTGATTCTACAGAAGGATGCTGAGGATGCCATAGAGAGTGCGTTTAAGCAACGAGTAACTTTTAATAAAAATGGAAACAAAAAAAGAAACTTTTTACTTAAAATCAGATATAGACATTTGAAATTACTAGAATACATAAGTAGAAAGGAGGGCTTGGAAAATTTGTAATTCACTGAACATATGGCAGATAAACTGACAGATGAAGGCAGCGGGTCACTTAGATGACGAGCTTATGTGAATAGATGGCGAAATGGTGGGGACGAATGGTATAAAAAACATTGCTAAGAGTTTCAAGCAAAAAGAAATGGTCGAGCAACATAAACACCCACTTCTTGAATGGACATAAGAGAAAAAGAAGCTGCTATCGGCAAGAAAGAATATACACATAGGCGAACGATACTTTACAGAATTGATTTTACTTATTCACTCATTAAAGAAATGACTTTTAGGAATTAACATACCTGGATTTGTTTTCTTTGCACATACACAGGATGTCCATAAAGTCCATGTGCACTTTAAAGTTATAAATTATTTACAGTGTCAACGAACTTTATGGACACCCTGTATTAGTTGTTAGTTTATACTTTATTTTTTACAATATTGCGCTATCATAAATTGTGCTATGACGTGTTTTTTTTTCTAATGAGATGCATTAAATAACACAGAAATATACAGAATACGCATAATTTATTCATATATATTCTTTCTATTATGAAACAAATATTCATGCTAAATCATTCCAAATGGACATTGAAATCGAACGATACCTTATATATATATATATATATATATATATATATATATATATATATATATATAATTAAGTAATTCCTCGAGTCAAGAAGAAGCCTCAACAAAATGCAGAAAGCACTTGACAGCCGTTTCGTCCTATATTTGCGCATCCACTACCGGACAGCTACGATATCAGGCAAACTTCATACCAAATGTACCAACGGACCTCGTGACGAAGAAGTAATGATTTAGACTCGATATAGCGCCGATCGGTCATATGTTCCGTGGTGGAACATCCGAGTTTCCCTTACCCATAAGACTCGGCCCTCACGAGCCACGACTACTATCTCAAAGCCGCTCTATCAATTAGAAGCCGGTTCAAGCAAGGATATTCAAGTGATAGAAATTATTTCAATTCTCGGTAGTGGATGCGCACTGGTGATGAGTCCTAAATATAGGACAGAACAACTGTCTAGTGTTTACTGCATTCCATAGAAACTTCTTCTAGACTCGATGAATAACTTAATCTCAAATCCTCCGAATAATTTCTATCACTTATATATATATATATATATATATATATATATATATATATATATATATTGCTCTGTAGGGAGGTAAGAAATAGGATATGTAAATAATTGCTGGTTCTACTTTCTAATTATATCCATCTTCTGAGTAACTAGCTAATCCCTGCCGCATAATCTTCTTCATTTTTATTTTTTTAATATTTAATAATTCTTCATTTGGATGATGCTGGAACTGTCTTGAGTGGACTTTAGTTACAGTTTTTGCGAAAAGCCACATGAATTGCCCTGATCAATATTTGGGCAAAGTGAATATGATCAGAGTCCCAATCATGAAAGCGGAAACCAACGATGACTGCCAAAGAAATAAATCTACAAAATATCACTTACAAAATTAGCCATTTCTTAATAGGTAAATATTCAAAATTCAATGACATATTAGCCAGTGTCGTTTGAAAATCATAAAATCTTTCACTTAAAACTAAATTTCAGGAAAATATTTTTCTCATCTTTGATATCTGTTATTGCTCCTTCCAGAATTTACGTGTTTTTTTTCTAACATTTTCTTTAAAATAGTGTGGAAAGTCAACTATTTGATTACGCCATTTTTTCTCTTCGAGTTACCTGTTGAAAGACTTCAAGTAAGGTTGTTTCTCTCATTTGGTAAACTTCTTTGTTTGTGATTCTGTAACGTCAGTCCACGAGCTTCGAAGAAGCAGGATCCTTGCTAAGACCTAGAGGCTTCATTGTATCAAACTATCGATCTGAGAACATAGCTTTATCCAGCTGACTGTATAGATAGTTCTGAACAGGTTTGGCAGGATGCCATGATACACTGGGATCAATTCATGATATGACTTCCAGACACTTCCAAAATGCCAACGCTTGGTTGGATTGTCTCGCCAGGCCACTATTATAAATAATCTACCCACTTTATTAATTGAATGTACTGAGATTCGAACCCAAATCTAATGGTTTTAGCGCTGTTTTATCAGCTCGGTAAAGTATATTTATGTATGTATTTACTTTGCAATATGTAATAAGTCAATATATAACATACAATATATAAGTCAATATGTAACATACAATATATAAGTCAATATATAAGTCAAAAGAAGACAAGGATATCGAACACATGAACAATTAACTACAATTTATTGTGATGTCATTTAAATATGCGTCATTTGAGTAGATAGATAGATAGATAGATAGATAGATAGATAGATAGATAGATAGATGTTTACATAGTGAAACTTGAACTTTGAAAAATGCACCGAAAGCCTTTATTCCCATTTCCTAGAGGAGAATCCCCAAACGAAAATCATCGAATTAATTCCTTGAAAATAATTACCAAATTTGCGCTACAAATTACTTCATAACCAATACGAGTTTATTTTTAGGCCACCCGAGAAGGAATCACAGATACTCGTGTTTGCGGGGGGGGTGTTAATAGTTACAGGTGAGCAGAAAGAGGCAAATTGCAAGGAATGTCTCTAATTATATTGTGAGAAATCGATATCGATCAGAAGTGATAAAATTGAGCAGTGTCCAATTGAGACGATCAACCGACGAGTCGCTGACATGTTTGTATTTGACTGAGTTCGGCAATATTTCCGTTTCAGTTCTCAATTCAATTTCTTTTCTGTCTTCCCTATGGAGAGACATTGAAATATTTTCTAGCTTGACTCCACTGTCATAATATTACCTCTGAACCGAATTATATATAGAGAGAGATAAGTAAGTAATATAGCTTCATACATAAATAAGGACCATTTCAGATACATATGTACAGAGCGAAACACATATAAATAGACTAATGTAGATAGATAGATAGATAGATAGATAGATGCTTACAGAGTGAAATATCAGGTCATCCCATAAGTTCTGTCTGAATTTTGAATAAAGAATACAAGTGACCAAATGTTACATTTAATTACAGATTCAATCAACAATGAATTTTCACTGATTATCTATGACTTCCTTCCATCTATTAACAAGCTTACTAATTCCATTACTGTAAAATTCTTTTGGCTTTGATTCGAAGAACTCACAAATGTCAGTTTTAACCTCTTCCTGTGTTACAAAAGCTGTTTCTTCCAAATGATTCTGTAAGCTACGAAACAAATAGTAGTCTGAAGGAGAAAGATCGGGAGAATAAGGTGGATGAGGAATTTTCTCCCAACCAAGTTCTTCGATCTTTTGTGACGTGATTCTGGCTGTCTGGGGTCGCGCATTGTCCTGATGAACATCACTCTTTTCGATTCACTAGAGCAGGTCTTTTTCCTCAAAGCTTGGTTCAAACGCTCTAATTGCTGACAGTATATTTGAGCATTAATTGTTGCATTAGATGGTAAGAATTCAAAGTGGATTATTCCTCAAGGATCCCACCAGATTGAAAGAAGAACCTTTTGCCCATGAAGTTCCCTTCTCGGCTGTGGCTGGGGTCATTCCCCTTTACTAAAACCACTGTCTACGACGCTTAACATTTCGATAAAAGATCTATTTTCGTCGCCAGTCACAAGTGTATCCAAAAATGGTGAAACAAGTTGGCGAGAATGGAGAAAGAGCAGATGTCAACTCGGGATTTGAGGTTGTTTTCAGACAATTCATGAGGCACCCATTTTCCAAGGAACTGTTGTTGTTGAAGATGACGGTGAACAGTTGTATGGTTTGAACTGAGAACCACTGCCAATTCCTTAACTGATAAAGCAGGATTTTCTTCAAGGGCTGCTTCAAGAAGCTTTTCATCAAACTCAACTGGACGTCCGGTTCAATCTTCATCTTCAAGGGTGAAATTCCACCTCTGAATTTTGCAAACCATCTTCTGCAAGTTCTTTCATTCACATTCCTCTCCATAACCTGAGTGAATGTTTCTAGCCGCTTCATTTGCTGAGTTTTCTTTCTTGAACTCATAAAGCATTATGTGCCTCAAATGATTCTTTGGTACTACCATGCTAGCAGGGTTTTAATGAAACAAAATTTAATTTTATTGTTCTCTGAAATAAAATTTGATCAGTTTAAATGCATCTAAACATAAAAATAATGTTCAGCTCCATTAGACATTATAAAATGTTCTTTAAATTTCGTTTATATTAACAAAATTTAAAATTCGGACACAACTTATGGTATGAGCTGATAGATATAAACAAAGATAAATGCATGTATATGAAGAAAGCGTGATTGATATTTACAGTTTGAGATAGCTATCTTACTAGATAGATAGATAGATAGATAGATAGATAGATAGATAGATAGAAACAGACTGATATACATAGATATATACAGACTGAGATAGATTGATAGATAAATAAACATAAACAGAGCGAGATAGATAGATTGATAGATAGATAGATAGATAGATAGATATGAACAATTGGCATAGCTAGCTCGGTAGATAAATCGATAGATAAATTGATAGATAAATTGATAAACAGATAGAACTGACTGGCATAGATAGATAGATAGATAGATAGATAGATAGATAGATAGATAGATAGATTACAGATTGAAATAAATATAAAGATAGCTAGATAGATGAATGATCAGGTCGAGATAGTTTCAAGCTGACACAAATCTTTAATAGGACATTCAGGATGTATGTAAATCACTAACAGTTGCTTATGAGATTGACATACTGAACAGCTTCTATCGTGAGAATTGTAATGTTGTTTATTAAAGGGTTGTTTTGAAGGGTGGCGTAGTTAGAGCCCCCCCCCACAAGGAATTAACGAAACGGTTTCGAATCGAAGAGTTTCACCTGCCATAAAAATCGCATTTAAAAATGGCCGCCCTTTTCTCTTTTTGCTCTGTGTTATTAACCAGATTACTTTTCCAAGTCTCATTACCGGCATCAAAATACCGTTCACAAAAATGAATGGATGTAATTTCGGGGACATTAATCGTCCATAGATACAGCATCTACCCTCACAGCAACAGTAGAATCTTTTAGTCCTATTTCTGATATTTTTTACTTAGATCTTCGTCTATGTAATCAACTTTGATGACCAGCAATTGTATTGCAAGGATTGGTTTTTATGCACGTTTTTATATTTGGGCGAAATTGCGAGTTCTTCATTACCTTGAGTATCAGGTATTTAGAGATGAGGGACAGATTATGCGATGAATGAAGTCCTTCCAAGGCGAATTGTTCCTGTAAAGGAAGTGTCGCGAGGAAACGTAGACGTGCAGATTCATAGTAAGAAAAAAAGTATGGCGAATTTAATACTCAGAGGACTATCAAAAGCAACAGAAGCAAAGGAAAGAAACAAGTAACCTATGTGTGAAGAGTGCGTAAACATATAAAAGAACAGGTATCGGAAAAACAAAGTGAAATTGTAAATGAGAAAGAAACAAATGAAATGAGAAGATGTGGAGACGCATGATCATTCACACCCATAGGAAATTTTTAGTTTATGTTTCCATCACATTTAATCGGAAGATCATCCCCAGAAATGTTGCGCCCAAGTTTTTACAACTTTTAACCATTCTTCTATTAATATAATGTTTGATTTAATAACAGAATTGATAAACACAAAAGCAAAAAGAATCAATATGAAATCAGAGAGATTATATACACAAAACACATTAACAATAAAAAATTATTTTAAATTTTTATTGTGGCCATTTCTTCGTGCGCATGTGTAGTCGCATCAACAAAAGCATAAATTTAGTCTCATGAAGTTCTAAATAACGAAACGCGTTGCACGAAAACATTTACCACTTTTTCATATTTCTTTTTCTTTTTCCTAAAATTTTCTTTTAATATATATATATATATATATATATATATATATATATATATATATATATATAAAATATTTATGTCAAAATAAACATAACACTCTCAATTTGTACTATTGTAACTAAATGCGTAATAATAACAAACATGATGAAACAACACTCAAAAGCATAATAGGTAGAAATGTTAAGCCTATTAATAATAATAAACAAGTTATTATATATTATAAAAAAATTAAAACAATTGACCTCCAAGTCTCTAATAACCATACAACCACAAATTAAAATCCTCTACAAAAAATCAATGTAGTGTATCAATTTACATGCCCGTTCAGAGATTGTATCTCTGAAACTAATAATAATCCCGCTACATATATTGGTTTTACTACAACCACATTCTCCCGTAGACTTACCTGTCACCTTTCTGATCTTAGTTGTATTAAAAACCATTTCTTAAAAAAAAAACATAGCCATGTATATAATATTAGACAGATATTAGTTGATAACACACTAAAACTCACACATGCATACAGTAAAAAGAACCTTCAGATATTGGAGGTCTACACTAAAACAAAGCCAACCACACTCAACAAAATTCCATTTCAAACTAGTCACAACACATTACATTGCATCTAGACATTGGTTTTGTTATTAATATTTTGGCCTCTCGCGTGCTATGACGTCATAGAACTGCATATTGAACTTACGATCTGCGACTGCTATCCGGCGACCGTCATCGTCGCATAACAATTTTCTGCGTCAACATAACAAAATACAATATTTGATAGTGTATAAACACTCTGAAGATGTCTTATGTGAGCCGAGTGTCTTGGGACCAACTTAATAAAAAAATATCTAAATGTTGGATAATATTTTGTCTTTATTTTCACCATAAATTAAAGCAAACATACAAACGGCTCATGATCAGACATAATAGGCATTCATTGACTGTTATATTTGATATGTTTAAATATATATATATATATATATATATATATATATATATATATATATATATATATATATTATGGCCAAGAGATTCTGGGCTATTTGCATAGGGAGGTAATCGATGACACGTGAAGAAAAGACCTTCCATTCCATAGTAATAGCGGTCAAAGTTGTGATAAAATTCTCAGCATGTCATCATAAATTTATCTAAATTGCAATATGTCAAATGAATTGGCCTACTTGGCAAGCAGCGAATAACTCGTTATTGCATCACAGAGCTCCCATACATGCTCAATGTTCCTTCTCGTAAACCAACAAATCTGAAAAAAAAAAATTATTTATTTTCGTATTTAATATCTTAAGTACGTTCAAATGCAGAAGGATTAAAACAAAATGTTTGAAAAAGTTATTTTTATTTATAATATTTTAAAATATTTAATATTTCAGAAGTGATTAATGGCAGGAATAATAAGACCATAAATTTGAAACATTGAAAACGGGGTATATTTTTAATTTTTAAAATTACTATCATTGTCGGTTATTAAAACTCTTTAGATATTTAATAATATTTCACTTAGGATCAGTAGCAGAAAGAATAAAAACTTGGAACACATTTAAACATTTAATATTTTGTTCAATATCCCTTTCATTTTCAATGCCCTTAGTTTGAATATTCCTTAATACAAAATTTTTCAAGGTTCGAGAGCCATTCAAGGTAGAAGATTAAAAAATAGTAATGAAGTATGGGGGTGGCTGATATGAATGGAAGTGTAGTTAAAAACGAAGTGTAGACTATGAGGATAAAGAAAGGAAGTTTAAGTTTGATTCTTGAAGTGTTCTGACTTTGGAGATGAGGTTGATTCTCCTCCATGTAAGAGAGATGACGTGTGCTAGCTCTAAATTTCTGAACTGGTTGTGCCAAACAACGGAACTCCTATGAAGAGCCTTTCGAATATTTAGATTCATTTATCCGTGTGACAGAGTTTCATCTTTAGAGACGGTGTCTTCTGGCCGATGATATTAACCTAACCACTAACAAGAAGATGCAAAATGTGATCCGGAACACCCCCAATCTCCTTGCACACGTCATGATTTTTTAACACCTATTTTCATTCGAAGGATAAGATACAAGGCCCAAGAGCTACTTAAGTTAGAGGTTTCCTGTGTGATGTTGGATGAGCGTAAGAAAGAGCAAGAAGTGAACATCATTGGTTTATGTAGGAAAGATAACGGTTGACCCTAGACTTGAAGAGGTTCAGATTGTAATGTTTGGGAAAACGTCCTATCAAAAACCTTTCACAAAACATCCTATGAAGAACCTGTTTCACAAAGCAGCAGTACTTTGGAAGAAGCTCTCCGAGTAGGAGTTCCTCCTTACTAATGGAATACGAAGGAAATGGGGATGTTTACTCCTTGTGCACGTGGCATGGTGGATGCCAGGTGTAAATGTCAAGGGTGGTGGGAAAAGCAATATACTGTTCCACCGCATGCCAAATATGTCAGCAATGCTCTATTCTTTCTCTGATCTGGGCCTGGTAAAGATGGTTATATGAGTTCCACTTAAAGTCTTGGTGAGCTTGAGACCTTATAGACGTTCAAGGCAAGGTGAATCCTTGAGGTAATGCTAAAGACATTATATTTTAATCAATAATTCAAATGATTGATTCGTTTTCTACGGTTTATCAACCCTTTTCAGGTTACATAAAGTTAGATTATAAGAATTCTTTGGAGATAATAATGGTTTAGTGATATACGTCTAAATATTTAACACATAGCTGGTGAGAAGAGAATTATTATCTTTCCCAGGTGTATTTGCGTGAAAGTGAATATAACGAACCCAACCCGAATTGGAACTCAGTTAAGAGCCATTATCCATTACACCACCTGCACATCCAAGTTTACGGCTCCTGATATTCCGAAGCGGTCACCTATCTAGATAATGACCAGAGGAGACGTTGCTTAACTTCTATGATCCTACGGGAACCGGTGTTTCAACGTTAAGTGGCCATAAGTCTTAATAATCTGACAGAACTTTATATAAACGTAATATAACTGTAGGGTTTTTGTTGATTAGATTCCTTCCTACCGTAACATCAAGTATGACACGATAACTGGTGTCAAAGGTTAACTTGGGATTAAATTTTTGCTTGTAAGAAGGGGAAAATATGTTTTTTATGTTAAAAAAACGATTCTTATGAATTCTAATGTTTATATCAATTTTGGAGTATAGTGTAAAAAATGGAATTCTAAATGTTGTTGATCCACCTAATTTGCATAGTGGAGTACCGACCATATAAATATGGTTGGTACCGGGAAGACGAGGGGAGGAATCAAGAGATTCAATCCGGAGACTTTGCCCGACTGCGACTCAGTCAACACATTCTCCAGGAACGGTCTTCCCAAGAATATACAAAAGACTATATGTAAATATTGTATACACTTTCTTGTTTCAATACATTTTGTTCTAAGTACATTTTGTGTTGTATTATTATTCCATGCATTAGTCAAGTTTCAACAGTAAATGTAGACAATATTGTACTGGAATATCGTTTTCATTTTATAAAGGAATTGTTAGTTGAAATGAGTGACATACGTATTTCTTTAAAGGTTACATATGTTTCTATCACGGATATGATATTCTCGGTGAGATTTTGGAAAATGGAAAATCTTTCACTGAAATTGGATATGTGCGATACATGTGCACGATTTTGATTGGCTGCCTAAGGAAAGAAAGTAAGAGAGAAAGGCTGGGGTGGATTTTGTCTAACAATCCAATATATACGACACAAGAACATTATTTGGATTGGACCACCAATCATATTAAGTTCCTGGATGTTTTACTTCCTCCCTTTAGATTCGTATGTCACAAGACTATTGTTCTAGCTTTATTATTGTGTAGCCAATCATGGCAGTGCATCTAGGGTTTGGACACCCCATAAAAGCCTGGGTTGAAAGAGCAGAAAGGGCAGATGACCGTAAAGCATTAATCAGCTGAAGTCCTCTTATCTAAACCCGCTTTTTTTAACTCCCCCGATCAGCTCGCTTCATTTACATCGTTGAACAGCTCTTGGACGTTTTACCATAACTTCAACCTCCGGTCAACCACTTCCGCCGAGTTCAAAAATTCTCAATATGGTAAACGTCTCTCTTGCGTTTGTATTTTTGATATTGCTCAATCCTACAACCATTATATCACCTTTCGTCGCCGCCTACACCCGGTGATGCAACCGCGT